GTCCAGTATTCTCCTTTAGCATCTCAGCTTCACTAATCTTCACACTACTTAGAAGGTATAGTCCAAATCCTACCAACATAATACTCTGTCTCTCTTCCTGCTTTAGTCCCCACTTGACTCCTTATTTAGCAGAATTCCCTTGGCTATGCCCCTAAATACTCTTTCTTTTGTTTAGTTATGCTCCTAGTAAATCCTAAATCAAGCAGCCAACCAAAACAAACAAACACATTAAAAACCAAACCTATTGCCACTGAGTTGGTTCCAATTTGCAGTGACCCTCCATCAAGTTTCCATGGTTGCAAATCTTCATGGGAGCAGACTGCCCCTCTGTCTCTTGCAGAGCAGCTAGGGGTTTCAAAACGGTGACTTTTGGTTAAAGTGCAGCACATACTGCACCACCCACCAGAGCTCCTGGCAAATTCTAAATCCTGACTAAATGTAACTTTCCCCTATTCAGAGCCAACTACAACAAGATGAAGAGAATCAACAATGCAAGAATGCTGTCTGTCACTGAACATTCATGTCCCTTCACTTTAAATGAGCTTTTAATACTGCCCATCCTTTATATACAGCACGGTAAAAAGTCACACTCTTTACCAACTATATATGATTTTAGGCCCATGTGTGTCAAAGCAAAGTAGACTTCCATGAAAAGAACATCTGTAATGTTTCTGATGGTGACTCAATGAAAGTGCAAAGTCAAGTTTTCCTACACAGAAGCATTCAACTATGCCAGTGCCCTCTGCTCTTGTAGGCTGACTTTTATGTGAACTTTAAGTGTTTTAGGAGCATGCATTATAAGTTGATATTTCTTCCTCATACAGTATTAACACAACATCTTGTGTAACAGGAATCAAATACAAATCTGTCTCTTCTGCAATCACTGCATCTCTTCTCACCTTATACTTGTCAGTCAGCAGTGTTCATGAGCACATATTAATGGTCTATGGTTGGCCAACTTCTCCATTTCTTTTTCTCCCTTTATTAGTTTCTTCTGGGAAAAGCAGATAAACAATGTTCCCATCTCACCCCTTTCCCAGCAAAACACAATCTTATGTAAGATGTGAAGAAACATGCATAGAAATAGTTTAAAACCCTTAATTTCATTGCAATGCAGTGATTCTGACAGGCTTCTCACATCTAGATCCACTCAGGAGCGGAGTGAGGAAATCCTGCAAAACTGGCACTAAATCTCTGGCAAGCAACATTTCTGAGAAGGTCAGGCAAACCAGCTCTATGAACTGCTCTAAGCGATGGAGATTAGCAAGTAAGGACAGGCACAAGTCCTAAAACAATTCTGGAGAAACATAGAAGGATTTAGAAAACTAACTAGCAAAAAAGGAATTAATGAAAGAAGAAAAGGAAATTTTTGGCTTCTAAATTCATTGGTCTATATCTTAATTAAATTGTGTCCAGCTACATATAGGTGGACAGTGTTTGGTGGAGCTCCCAGTTTAAGACAGGTTTGGAAGCAGACGTGGCATCCACTTCCTAAATAACATGCCTCTGGAAACTCTATGAACTTTGAGAAACAATAGTTATAGAAAGGCTTCATGTCTTTTGATCATCGGGTCACTACGAGTTGTGCTGGAGTCTATGGCAATCAACAACAGACAGGTACAGGGAGCTCTGGTGGCCTAATGGTAAGGAGTTGTGCTGCCAACTCACAGGCACTGGTTCAAACCTAGCTGCTCTGCTGGAAAAAAAATGGACAATCTCCTCCTGTGTGGTTTACTGCCTCTGAAAACCCACTGGAGAGTCAGCTATGAGTCAGTTCCAATTCAATGGTATAAAAAAACAATAACACCATATACAGAGGCAGGACTGCCAGGTGACTTTATAGACTTTCTCTTTATTAATCAGTCTCCTCCTCTAGATCAGAAACAACTTGAAGGTAAGAATTTTCAGTACCACTTATTGATTAACATTCATTTAGCCCTGCATCCCAACATAGGCAGCAGTGTAACCTTCTAGTTTTAGTAGTAGGATTTCTGGTGTTTGATTACCCCATAAGCATGGACTTACTTGTGTTCATTCACAACTAAGGTCTGGTAGCCTAGTAGGTAAGGAGTTGTGCTGTCAACCCAAAGGAAAGTAGTTTGAATCTATCAGCTGCACTTTGGGAGAAAGATGGGAAATCTTTTCCTGCTATAACCGCCTAGACTGAAGACTAGCTATGAGTAGGTTCTGACTCAATGGTACATAACAACAACAACAATAGATTTGTGCTCAGTCACTAATCTGGAGTGAACAAATTCACGTGTGTGTTTTGTTGTTTTTTCCACCACCTCAGAGACTCTGCTTCTACATATGGCTGGCATCTGTCTCTCTCCCAACTCTACATCTTCCTATAGAATGAAAGCCTCTTTTCAAGTTTACAATCCCTGGCAGGCACAGAGTGCTCAGTAACCAAGGTCAGCAGAGGCTACTGGTGCTTACTCACCAGTCTGCAGAAAAGAGTGTCACATGTTTTAACATAAAAAAAGTGGTGAAACACTAAGCACAAGCAAGTCTGTGCTTACCTTGTTTATTGGGTCATCTATTGCAATGAGTCGCAGGTGACTCGATGGCACATAACAACAACATCCCTAAGGTCATTAGAATCACTTTTGGCTAGAACCCTGGCTGTTACACTTTCTGGAAGATCTATAGTATTATTTAGTATTACAAAGTCTCTGTCTCATCAATTATAAACTGTATTTATAAAAACTACCTTATAGCTTTGTGAAGAATAAAAGCTATATTAAATCCAACATATTTGGTTAGAGCTTAGTCCACTTCCTAAATAAATAACATGCCTCTAGAAACTCTATGAACCTTGATAAATGTTGATAGCTATAGAAATGCTTCAGGCCTTTTGCTCATAGGGTCTCTATGAGTAGTGCTCAATTCCACAGCAATCAACAACAACAACAATAACATATATAACACATAATAAAGAGTATTAGAATTCTAAGACACTCTGGTGGTGCAGCCATTAAAGTATTTGGCTACTATCCAAAATGTGGCAACTTAGACCCACCAGCCCCTATGTGGAAGAAAGACAGTCAGCTTCCAAGATTTACTGCCTTGGAAACTTTATAGGGCAGTTCAACTCTGTCTCACGGTGTCACTATGAGCCACATCAGTTCACTGGCAGGTGCTGAGTTGGTTCTGACTCATAGTGACCCTATGTACAAGAGAGTGAAAGACTCCCCAATCTTATTCCAAACTCACACTCACTGCTAAGCTTGTGCCCATCTGCAGCCTGCTACTGGGTCAACAACCCATTTTAGAGGGACTTTCTTTTCACTGGCTCTACATTACCAACTACGATACCCGTCCCCAAGGACTGGTCCTTCCTGATAATATGGCCAGAGATTTGAGGCAAAATCCCACTGTCCTTCCTTCTAAGACACATTCTGGTTGGACTGCTTCCGGGACAGATTAGTTCGTTCTTTTGGCAGTCCCTAAGATAGTCAATAGTCTTCTTTAACACATCAATTTAAAGACATAATTCCTCTTCAGTTATTCACTGTCAAAATTTCCTGTGCATATGAGGTAACTAAATACATCACGGTTTGGCTCAAATGCTCCTTAGTTCTCAGAGTGACACTGCGGCTCTTCAGTAATTTAAAGAGGTCCTTGGTAGCAGTTTACCAATTGCAGCATGCCATCCTAACTGCGGCTTCCCTAGGTGTTGACTGTGGATTAGGTAAAATGAAATGCTTGACAACCTCAGTCCTTTCTCTTATTATGATGTTAGTTATTGGACAAATTTTGATGGTTTTTTCCTTTTCTTTATACTGAGGTAAGGCACGAAGTTAAAATTCATCAGCTGTGTTGAGGGGGAATGATGGGTAATCTCTTGTTTGATTTACCATCTCTTAAAACCTGCTGGAGAGTAGGTATAGTTGGTTCTGACTCTGGTACACAACAACAACAACAACAACATACTGAGGTATCATCCATACTGAAAAGTAAATACAGAGCATATTTAACTTCACAGATGACTGAGTTGACACAAAACCCTTTCATAATCACTTTCCTGCTGATACCTACCAAATTCTTTGCCCTTTAAATTTCACCTTTTGTTATGTTTAGATCTATTTTTTCTGATTTAAATATCAAAGCTTACCTTTTAGAAATTATTTTAAAGTGCATACATAAATCTCTGATTTAGGCATAATATTTTTAAATGTACATTTAAACCACAGTAGTTTATCCATTCAGTTCTCTCACCTTGATAAACTCAAATAAAAAAAAAGAGGAACCTTATGTCATTCATAAAAAAAAGAAAGAAAAAAGGTAACTAACTGTATTGCACTTTGTTTGAAATCCATGGTAACAATATATAGGACAAGGAAGGAAAAGAGCTTCAAGATTAAGTGCTAAAGATAGCATAAATTATATATCTACTTATTATGGTAGTAAGGCAAAACTTAAAATGAGTGCAACAGAGAGGAAAGTGAGTTTAATCACCTGGTCAAACCATTTCATTTCACAGATGAGGTCGCAGAGGTCCTGACCACATAGGCAGATGATTTCCTCCTTCATTACTTAGATCCCTACTATTCAAAGTGTGCAGGCCAGCAGCCACAGTGTTGTCTGGGAGCCCAAGAGAAAGGCAGAATCTCAGGTCACATTCAGACCAACAGATTCAAGATCTGCACGTTAACAAGATTCCTCAGGTAATTCATGCCCCTTAGAGTTTAGAAATGCTGATGGGTTAGTTTGTTACTCATAAGTCCATAAATTATAAATGCACAAATGAATTTTGTTTGAGTTGAGTGTGGCCCTTTCCACACATACACCTCCCCCAACTATTTCTGCTCACAATATTGGGAGGTTCAGGAATCCTGTGTCTTAATAGATTTCTATTTAAAAGCCACTTTCAAATGCATCTTTATTCTTCCTACATTCAACAGTTGTATTTGGATTTTTTTACCCCCAAGTACAGGATTTTCTCAACCACTGAAAACAGTTTTGTTCATAGCAACTTAATTCTCTAAAGTAATTACCTGAAATTTCACAGGCTGGTTGATGTTGGACACGTAGAACTGCTTCAGGAAGCGCTCATCTTCACTCCAGAACAGGCGGATGTCAGGGATGTCATAGAGGATCATGGCCAGCCTTTCTAACCCGAGACCAAAGGCCCAGCCAATCTTCTCCTCAACACCAGCTATAACAGAAAACAAACAAACAAAAATTATATAAAGCATACTATCCCCTGATAATTGTCAGTAACATCGAGTTTATACTCATGCAAGACACTGAGGAGGAGCTATAAAAACACTGAAGAATGGACAATCTCTCACTTTTCTTCCATCTCCAATACACATTTTCCTCACTGAAGTATTGTGAAATCACACTCTAATATTGTCTTGCTTTCCTGACTAAATTCAAGACTATTTTCTGCCTTGGCCACAGCCTCTGTGTTATTGTTTTTAGTCTTTATGACTAAGTAGTTTACCAGATTAGGCAAGTATTCCCACAACATACCACAACAGGTGTTTCAGATCCAGAAAGATTGTATTGGGCTTTTAAGGGCTATCACCTTCCATAATCTCACTATAGCAACATCTACTTCAATAGCACAGAGATTGTGACCAAACCAAGGCAAAATGCAGCCTCACTCACACCAAAGGCAAAGTGATTGTGGCAATGCCATGATTGCTGAGGACTTATCTCACAAACATCACACAGAGTGAGACAGAAGATACAAACTGCTTTGTAAATAAAAGTAGTTATTCACGCTGCTGGAGCTGATTGAGAAAAGAGCTCATAAAAGGAACAGAGCTTCAGGCAACATCACAACAGACCCAACTAAAATTAAAAATTTAACATTAGAATATTATGAAAAACTATACTCAAACAAATATGAAAAC